GGGGAGGTTAGTGTGGGTGACTTACGTTGATAATTTTTAAATCAGCACATAGAAAAAGTTACCGCAAACTGCTTCATGTGTATTTCTGTTTAGTGACAAACAGCCACAAAATGAAAAGAAATAAAACACCATAATTTTCTCATACCCCACCGCCCCCTAATTTTCTTTGCATATCTCTCCTGGCAACCACACACCAATTTAAAACTTATGAACACTGCAAGTTATCTTGTTACCAGATCCAGAACAAAAATTTAATTTTGAACATGAGGGTAAACGTGATGAGCACTGCAAAAACTTATTGTAAGATACTTTTAAGCTTACGGTCATTCCCCAGTATTGCACCGCGCATCCCTACTGTGAGTGCTACTCGTGAGTAGCGCGCGGGCATACAAAAATGGTGCCTTTTTCTTTATGGCTGAACTTCCCCATAGAAGTAGACCGTCATTTCCTCGAAAACAAGTATGGTGACCTATCATTTTTTTCTGTTGTTTTGAACTGAGTAATAGATTTCTCTATGTAAAATAAATATGGACCAATTCTCACTGGAGAACATGAAACAATCATCGGAAACGTGAATTTAGCAAGCAATCGTGACTATAATCATGGTGCTATTATGAGGATTTGTAGGGTATAAACAAGGTGCTGTTGCTCCTAAACGAACAATGAGGGCCCTCATTTTTATTTCAAAATTTAAGTTCCTATAATATAAACAAACAATAGGCAAAATTTGACAAAAATCTCAGTGCAGGTTCTGTTTCAGTGGAATGACCTTAATAATATTAATCAAAATCATTCAATATCTTCTTTACAATAGAAAACAGAGAATGCACCAACTTTGACAACAGAAGCCTTACAGCAAAAGCAAGCAGCAGCTGAAAAAGACAGGCAAAAGGTAAAAAATTCCTTTCAGTGCTCAGAATACTTATTATTTATTAAGAGTCCCTGTCCATAAAAATGGAAAATAACTCGGCAAGGGTCGAAAATTCGATTTCGCTCATATTTTCATGGTAGATAGGCTAGGGCATGA